ATCAATCGTTCCGTCGGTAAAAACGCCGTGCGATCCTCTTCGAGAGATATATACCTCCGGCTCGCGACGAAACGATCGAAGAATGCTCGATCGATAAGCACGCCATTCGCATCGAAAAACACCACTCGCGCGTGCTAATGCTTTATCTCGTAAATTGTTCTTTTTCCGCGAAACGCGATTTACGATCGACATTCGCGAATTCGCGGTCTCACCTGCGATCCAATCGAGATCCCACATCGAACAGGTCTGAATCTGGAATAGTTCTACGCGGGATCATGTATAAAACGAGCCACATGCGCTAAATTTCTCAATTGCGCGCGCATGCCAACATCATTTCGTAGATGGCACCACGACAATACTTGCCGCCGCGAATGGTATACCATATACCTGATACATCCGGCCGGCGTTGGTTTGGATGATTTGTTATTTTGTTTACCTGCTGATACTCGGAAGGCCTATCCGCTTGTCGCTCTGCCTAGCATAAAATATCTCGATATACATCGTTCGATGAATGTATTCGTATAATTTTATAAAAATAAGGGATTCTCCGTAAAGATACTCGCGAACCTATTTCATTTTACAAATGATAAGATTATGATAGAATTACAGCGAAAATATTTATGTTCATATAAAACCAGAGAGAATCAACAAAACATTTAAATTATTTCAAAAAATGTCAAAAATTGTTATTCTTTTCATATAATTGTATTCGTAAAAGTATATATAAAGAAGACATAATTAGATGGAGGTTTAAGAAAACTGTATACATTTTACACTTTTGTATACTAAAGCAATAACTGCTTAGATTGGGCTCCCCTAGGCAGCTCAAGTGTTCACCTACATCCGGAGATATGCCAGATATTTCCGGGACTACGCAAAATCTCACCTTGAAACCCTATCACGTTATTCACGTTTCATATATACATCAACAGATTTAACATCGTGCGCGATAATTCCCGCGGAGTCAAGCGATAAACTGCCGGAGATATATTGCCGGGGTTTCCATTCGCAGTTAATCGACGACATGAAGGGATTACGGTACGCTTCGAACCGGGAACAGGCTCACCCTGATCCTAAGTACGTCCGGTCATGGTGGCATGAAAGCTTGCTTGGATAAATGACCGCTAAATACGGTATGCGGGGGGGAACATGGCTGCAGTCGCATTGGCGTAAATGCATCGAGTTATTGTATATGTATATATCGAGGCAAAGAGAGACAAGAAGAGAGAAAGAGGAAGCGGTAAGGTTTTTTTATATAATTTTTTTATTTTAGAAAATAGTTTTAATTTTAGATAAAATTTCTGGAAACAATGTATATGGCGTACCGTTTGATCTGGTTGACCTTGATCGAGACTATCGGAAAACACCGGCTGGCAGTCGTGTTTGTAACGCACGTATAAGAATCATCAACGGACATGAAGCAACCTCTGGAGAGAATCGGCGAGATGGGTTCACAAGTAAATAGATTGTACTCACGAGGTCACAAGAGAACGAAATGAAATTTCGTTAACGGGAGTCCTGTTAATCGTCGACACGGTGGTCCTTAAATGGAGAACCGTTCTTCATGGACGCAACGCGCGCCAACATGGGCAGCCAGAAGGTCCTCGGTGCACCTTCAGGACTGCCGTCTCTTTTAGTCGGCGATCAAAGTACGTATGCCAATCGATCGATCCCAACCGCTGGAGAACGGGTTTCTTTGCGGTAACGAAGGCTAACCGTCCAGAAACCCGCGGGATTAAGAATGCGTAGAATATCAATCGAATTCGTGAGTCATGCTTTGGTGGTCACCTATTCGGTTCCTACAATTGGTGAATCATATATGCATATCGTCGAAGAGGGGTGTGAATTCTTGACATTTCTTTCCAACTGTCCGGAAATAATTTCAGTATCTTATGATATCGCGCGTCTAAAAAGATATTCCGCGGGGAAAAAGATATTCCGAAAGACAAAGCAACCCGCTTACTATTACGTGGGAATCCTCGGCGATTGTTGAAATTGTTTGATGCGTCACGACGCACGTATTATCACAGAAGACGACTCTGGTGTAACTTGTTGTTGCGGAGGAAGAACTCACTTACCAGAGGCACGTGACAGTGGCCGCTAGATTTTAGAGAAGGCTTTCGAGATCTCGGACTGTGGAAAATTACGTCGAAAATTCGCGACATCAATTATCGACTGTTGTCTCGTTAAAACTACCGCACTTTTAGTATAGACGGCGATATCTTAATTGCGCGAGCTATGAAAAGCTAAGATTTATGGCATTATACAGACACACGAATTCTTGGAATATAATATGCTCCTTTCTTCAGGTACAAATTGAGATCAGCGGTGGTATAGAACCAACAGTTGGTAAAGTTAGTCTGTCTGATGGGGGTCAACGTACAGGGGCTGTATTCTCGAAAAATATTGCATTCGAAGATATACGAAAATATTAAAATATACGTTACATATATTATAGATAGTATATATTTTTGTATACACGATATTTTTCGAGAATAAAGCACTAATGTTAGTCGAGCACTTATATCGCCTGTCGTGTACTTTTCGCTCCGCGACCGATCACAATACATATTAAAAACAAAATGTAAAATGTGAACCGATGTAAATTTAAATGATTACATTTAGCGAAAAAGGCAGCATCAATTTATATATTTTTTATCCAGTGAGGAATTAAAGGCAAGAATCAATATTTAAACAATCCTACAATTGCAAAGCTGCTTTCTCTGCTAAACGCAGCCGTTGATAAAGCTAAACATGGATAAGATCATGTCTCGTAGTTTGGGAAATTGTAAGGCTATTCTACTTATTTAATAGCAATAGTAATAATAATAATCGGCATTTAATTAATAAATCATTTTGGCACAGTACAGAATAGCATCGATCTCCATTCTCTACAAAACTATCAAAGTGTGCGTCATGCGTCTCTCAGCAGCCTACTTTGTCGCAAAAATACAAAAGATTTAATTAAAATTATCGCGTTGTATAAAAAAAATTAGTAGTTCCGATCGCCGTTCGCGTGATTGCACGGGTACGCGAGAAAAAGTGAATTTTTACATCCCAGGGAGCATACGGACGTGATACTCGTCGAACGCACTGCGGGGGAGTAAAATATACAAATTCATTTCCTCCGTAACGATAATTTCACGTTACGTATATCGCATCGCTGCACCGTGACGTCACAGCTTGAATTAATCGTGCTCTGTATTTCAGCGCAACAATTGGCACAATTTCGCGTAAAACGAATCCCGGTGCGATTCGAGAAACGTCCGCTCCTCGCCTTTTTCCCCCAAGCTTCACGGCAACCCTCCTACGCGACGTAACGCCACATATACGCCGTTTTTATTTATCTTTCGTCAGCTAACTCCCGTTGGCTAAGTTTAATAAAAAATAAAGACCGAGCTTCTCACACATTTCTACCTCCAGCGTAGACGTAAGCGCTACAGAGACCGCGTCGATTTTAAATTAAAACAGCGTGTATACATGAAGCATATCGGTACAAGAGCATGTCGCTTATCCAATAATTAATGTTAACTCGTTTAATTCCCAGACTGACAACTTGCGGGAGATAACTTTAAATAATCATGACGATAGCAAGTCCGTAATAAACGTAATATGAGTGGGGAGGGGGGAGGAGTTTAGGGTAGCACTAAAAATTACGTCTCGTAATATATATAAATAATTAATAATAATCGCCAGTGTATAATGCTGACGTCCATCGCCAGAATAAGATCCATTCTATCCGCTTAACTGTATACGCGCTTATTTACAAAACGTTCGTGTACTCGAGCATAGGCGACGTCGACGTCAGCTGACTACGTATGTATTCGTACTGTCGAGTATAAGGCACCTACGGTAAACGGTGAATCAACGCCTCCGCGCGAGATACGCACGACGTCGAATAACATTTCATCATGACATCGAAATAGCGAGCGGAGCCTGCTAAGCCTTCGCGGCTGTAACAATTGAGCCTAAATCGAACGTGAACGTTATCCTCTGACTTACTTAGGTGCTCAAGTTTTCGAACCACGATATCGGCACGTACAGCTTCTTTTCTTGTTGGCTTCGTTATAAGCAGCCGCTAGATTATATTGCTTTGAAGACGATATTCGGTACCATGTTCGTAGTGGTAAGGGTGACTTCGACCAAAATCCAAGTTTATCGATTAACAACTACTCGGTTGTATAAAATATTATTTTGTTTTGAATAATATTACAGTAGAACTCCGTTCATTCAAATATCGGAGGCCAAGACTGTTCAATTACCGGTTTGGATAATAAAGGTTCGCTAACTCTCTTCCATTTAAAAAACTGAAGCCAAGCACGTCGAGCTTCTATTATCTAGATTCTAGAAACCTTCTAATCAGGGATTGGCCAATAAGTCCCGGAACACACAACAGGTGTAGTAAATTTTAAGCCTTAAGAAACTGATCAATCACAGTTGAATGTAAGAAGAATAATCGACTATGATTGGCCAATTTCTTAAAGCTCACACCTATTGTGTTTCGTGATTAAGAACATATTACAGCAAAATCCTATGAATGAGAAAAAATATATGCTGTCTCACTCTGCAGTGGTGCAAGAGAGAAGAAGATATGTGCTATCTCGTTATGACTAATACAATTTGACGAAAAATGACCAATCAAAAGTGACCCTCATATGGTCAGTCTCTGATTAGAGGGTCTCTACTATTATCCGAACTATAGCGCCGTATTTTGGACAACAGGACAAGATCAGCGGCGACGAATTATTCACCTAGAAATTTTGCTGCGAGCAGTTCTATCAATCAAATCGATTAAATTGATCGGAGTTTTCGGTCGAAGTTGCTCTTTTTCCCTTCGCGCGTCCGGAGTATCTTACTATTCAGTTTCACCTTCGTGCTTCTCAAAACTTATACAAAATAGTGTTACACAAAGGAATACGATTAAATAAGTATATATAGCAAATCTTTCGTACCGGCTTCGTTAAAACTAATGTTTGAAAAAATTTGGAAAAGACTATTTATAGAAAACTGCCAATTGTAATTAATGCGAGATAAAAAAAACAATTTTGAATTAGTCAGGGAAATTGTCGTTGACAAAATTTTTGAAATACTAATCTTGATCGATATATATTACATTTCTTTCATATTACATGTTTTGCACCTTGCAAATGTCGCAGACTTAAATAGCAGCAATTGCGAAAGAACGTGAAAATTGATTTGTCTTGGAATCCGGTACAAGATCCAATTTAAAAGGATTATTGCTAATAATAAATACAGTTTAAATATTACGTACTTATAGTAACAAGTGTTATCGCATTAACAAATATTACCGTTTGTTCATCGTGGAGTAACGGCACATCTCGCCGCGTTCCTCATCGAACGGTTTCATACGAGATTTCATTTCATATAAGTATGCAACGTACAACATAAATATATTTTTACGTTAGAACGAGATAATTTAGGTTTACCACACAACAATCGCGAGATAAAGAGCAATAAAGGTGACGGAGATGCGCAGCGATACCAATTACAAAACGATAATTATAAGCGGATAGTAGTAGTAATACTATCAATAATAGAAATGATAGTAATAATAGTAATAAAATAATATATATATATAATAAATTGAAGTTATTAGTATTAGCAATCGTATAATAACTGATGCCGCCGTCGGAGGTTTTTCAGTCTTCTTTGGTTGCTGGGTAACTCGCAGAGGTTAGTGGATACAGCAGGGCACTGTAGTACCGCCGCGACTAAAAACTCGTCTCTTTCCGAGTTTTCACCACCTCTTTCCCACCCTTCTCCCGTACCCCTTCGCCCCACCGTATTCGTGTTCGGCCGTAACGTGGTTGTCGCTCTTGGCGAGGAGAAGGGCGCTTAGCTTACGTTCCTCTCTTTCCTTTTTTTTAATCCGTTGATGGGGATCAATTGATTAATAAGCGTCTGGCTGCGGGCGCTGGAGGCTCCGGAGCGAACGACCGAGCGGTCTCGTTGCGGACAAGAATAGCAATATCCGATCGCGTTCACGTCCTTCCTCTTATTGCACTGGGCTATTTCTCGCGACTTCCTGTATACGCGCCACCGATAACAACGACAAACTTTGAGCGACGAGCACGCATTCGTCATCATTTAATTAATTAGTACAATAATTACTCTTGTCACCTCGAATACCACTGCTAAAAATTAAAATGACAAAGATCACACAGGCGTTTCTCGCTCATTGTCGGTCGAAACGCGCCAAGTAGTAGTAAACGTATAGTCGATCTCTCTTTGTAATTTCTTATATTCTTCCCTCTTTCTTTCCCTGCTTAATTCAGCTCAGGTGAATCCATCCACCTGCAATCCAGCTCTCGCGATTTTAACGTGCGCGTGTACGGAACCGTTCGGTGGTTTGATGTAGTTTTCCGTCTCGAGAGCCCCTCGTACGATACACGAAGAGAGCGATCGCGTGACGGATAATGGTCGGCCGCGACTGATTTCGTCATCATTCGACGATGACTATAGTGCAGGCGGCGGAGCTTCCTCGTGGACCGGGGCAGACTCTTCTCCGGAACTACCAGGCTCAGCTCAGCTCGCGTGGCGTCATAGAGTGCCGCCGCGCCGGATGATGGTTGTTGCGATGATGACGCCTCGCGCGATGCTCGCACTGCGCCGTACAGCAGTCGTCGACGTCCGCCACGTGCTCGCCGCGCTTCATCTGATGCGCGATCGAGTTACAGAGTGACCGTGGACACCGTTTCCTGTCGCACCTGACCTCGCCGTTCTGAAAGAACCAGAGGGAGCGGTCCCATTATCATCACCATTTAGGCATTTACGCGTTCGTTGCGCGAAATCCGCAAGAAATGCCAGCAAATGCCAGCAAATGCCAGCAAATGCCAGTCATGACGGCGCGGAAACGGATCATTCCATACAACGGATCAGCGATCCGCTTCGCATCGTTCATTCTATTCTATTCTATGATGTAACGCAGGATGATGCATACACGTATATGTGTATCCATTCTTTGTATGTATATTGTATCATTAAAAGTATACGAATGAATATTAACATAATATATCGAGAAACAAATGAATTGTGCTATATGGCTTACTATGAAAATAAAGAAAGTGTTGAAAAACTAAATATTTCATCAGTAATAAAAAACATAATTATATTAATAAGTTAAAAAATTTAAGAATTTTTTACATAAAAAAATATAATATTAATTTAAAAAACAAGAATGGACAATAACTTTTAGTGTTAAGGAACACTGCTGAAACCTGTGAAAACAACTCGGGCTGTACTTAACAGACTTAGCTAAAAAGAAGAAATGTATATATGTATATATGTAGCAAGACGAGATATTTATCCATCAATGAAAAAAATCGAATGCGAGTAATAAAAACGAAATGCGAGAGAAGAACCGGTGCAACGAGCTCTGTTGGTTATACAAAATCCGTTTCTCATGATCGAGACGATTATTTTTCGCTTCGTTTTGTGACGTCGCGACGCGACGCGACGCGACGCGATGCGACGCAACGCAAGCCAGCCGAGGCCGCGGCGTTCCATTTTCATCGTAATGGATGGACCCTATAATGGTCGGGCCAGATTAAAGGTGTTCACCTTAAAGATTTCTCGACGTGTCCGTGTCTGAATATCGCAACGAGACGACCGCGCAATAACCGTCTAACGAATGAATTGTGTGTAACGACGAAAAATAAAGTGAGTTCCAAGACCTCTCTGCTTGACAACAAGACGCGATCGCGAGATTCACTTCATCTCGGTGAAATAAGTTAATCAGACATGCTTGATAAAGAGAGATCGTAAAAAAAGCGATTTATTCGTCAATCCAGTCTCTTGTTTTGTAACGATTCGCGACCAGTTCGAAAATTGCGGTGATAATGAATGCGCGTTTGTTAATTTTTCATTTTTCATTTTTCGATCAAATCTCACGACTTTAGCGATCAAGATTTCTCACCTTGCAGCGGCACTTGACACACTTTACCTCGCCGTGCGAGTGCAACCGGGGATGCCACTCCATGCCATTCTCATAGGGTCCACCGAAAGGGTACTTGCAGCCACCGGAAGAGAGTATCTCTTCCGCGGTGCGCCGCGTCGAAGGTAAAGCCTGATCTCTCGGTAGGCGTATGGTGTCGCTCGACGCGGTGGTGGTTACATTGCTAAGGCTCGTTGATGACGGTGGGCACTGTCTGCAGCAGGCTTTCTTGTCTAGCCTGACGGCGATCTTCTCGTCGCACTCAAGCGGCGGACACTGTACTAACGGGCATTTTACCTCCAGCGTGACAGCCTGTGAGACAAATGGATTTCCAATGTAAATTGCGAAGGTGACTTCTCGTATCTAGTCGCGTCCCGTACTGAAATGTGTGTAACATTGTTACACACAACTTGTTTAACATTTAATGACAAACAAGGACAAAATGATTCCAAGAACGTTGTGAATCGGATTGCGAAAAAAGGAATTTCGTCCCAATGCCTTAAAAGCGTATGAATGTTTGTTGTGTAGAAATTTGTAAGAGACGTACGTCGTTCCCTGAATACATAACGCGAGATATTTTCACGAATGACTTCTGCATGGTGTCAATTGGCTGGGAAGCGATTGCCGAGTATGAAATAAACTGCAATCGTTTAGAAAATCTTGTCGCTGAATCATTCAATTAAGCTTATTACTAACTGCCAGACCGCAACCGCATTCTTCGGACGTGGTGTGGCACGCTCAGGTTTTTCCGCGCTGCAAAATCGCGCCGAGCTAATCATTGTGAAATACTGGTAATCACTTTAACGCGATTTAAGCTGAAGCGTAATTGTAACGTATTAGGAAAATATCATTGTTGTGCTTCGGGTCTCTCTAAAAAATTTATGTAACGAAAAAGAAGAAATGTATTTTGAAATCTTATAAATATTTGTCGTTATCAATCCAACTACGCGATTCTAATAAAAGAAAAATAGGAACAGTAGAAACTTACGTCACAAGTACAAACTGCACAAGTGTCGAATCCTGCTGGTGGTAGATATGGATGCCAGGATGATCCCGCGAGATGATATTGTCCAGCTAACGTACAACCTCTCGTAGCATTGTTCTTGACTGTAGCATTAGTTTCGGCATTCATTGGATCTGAATAAATTATTAACGAAACATTAAACATGTCGATATGATATCGTATTTAGGAGTAGCTTTATCAAATAACTTAACCAAATACAATTTATCATTCGAGCGTTTTAGGCGATATTTAACTTATCTCTTTTGCAATTTTGCTACTTGTATAAATTTATACAAGTTATGTCTTATGTTCCGTCCTTCTCTCACGTAGATATTCTCGTTTTGTATAAAAAAAAAATTATTTCCAGTTTCAATAAATAAATAAATCCCTTTACCTGCGCATATCGGGCAGCAATGACCAGTTGGCGGTTGCTTGAGCTGCTTTCCCAACCCGCAAGAGACTGTCGGACAGGGTACCGTGTCGCATTGCGCCAAGCCGCGATAGCAATGACACATCGAACAGGGATCCGAGTTCGAGGTCCATTGCGTGCCTTCCTCATAGAATCTGGTCTCGTGGAAACACGCACCAGTCTCGATATCCGACCTGGGTGGCTGCAGATTATACGCCACCACAGAGGCAACGTCGTTGTCGGCATAGTGTGGCAGACAGCTGAACGGTGCCCTCGCCTTGAAGGGGGCCTTCAGGATGTGTGTAACCTGCTTGTCCGTCACTTCGAGGAAACCGATACCCGACTCGATCCTATAGAGCTCCAACGATGACAGTCCGGTGACCGATCCTTCGAGAGAGTATCCCGTGAATTCTTCGAGAAGTCTTCTAGCGACGGGAGCTCCCTGGGCTAGCATGGGCATCGTTTCTAAATATAAACGGAACGTTCGCGGTTCTTGGGAGGAGGGCGGGAAACCAGCGAGTTCTAGCTCATAGTGTAAAGAACAATCTAAATCCACCGCGGTCCATATCAAGCCGACCGGTCCAGGATGCGTTGGCTCCTTGGTCAATCTTCGTAATAGCACAGGCGCGGCCGTATCTCTAGCGTCCGCCACGGGTCTCTCTAAAAGTCTACCGCGCAACAAGGAGCCGACATGGCTGGCAGCGACTACGGAGAGTTCCTCGTTGAACAGTGGCTGCAATAGTCTGGGTCCAGGCCGGTCTAAGGAACCGTTCGCGAGGGAGCCACCGATCAACGAAGGTGTCAGATCCTCGAGTTCCATTCTCCGTTTCCCGCCCTCATCCACCAATGTCACCAAAGGGCTCTCTTCTTCGAGTCCTATCAATTGCACTCCGTAGCGTAGCGCACCGACACGATCCAAAAAGACCCAGGCCAATCCGGATGCCACGGACGGTGTTTCCGACAGTAGCAATGTTTGATACATGTCGCAGGTTGCGCGTGAACCTATCATGCCGATCAGTCGAAGAGCCTGCGGATCTTTGCGAGACATTATACTGATCAACAACTTGCCTCGAGTCAAAAGACGAAGATCGGTCCCGGAAAGTGCGCTACGGACTTCTCCGTAATTCAGTTCATTCGACGGCTTTCTCACCATTATCTCTTCGCGAAGGACCACGTGATCCTTCTCGTGATGTTCCAGCTGAACAATTAACGAAACGTCGGCCACGTCGTTCGGCAGGAAAAGACCGTTGAAAACGAGGGACACGTGGATCGACGGCGCTGATGCGGATGAAGCGGACACAATCGCCGTTGCGCCCGCGCCGGACATCAACGACCGGTCGACGCCCATCGCTGGTTCTAAGAGCGCGGAGAACTGCTCGGTCGAGAGAGCGCGGTAACGCGACAACTGCCCGGTCAGGCTCGATGAAGGCTCCCAGAGGAAGGACACGTGTAGCCGTTCCTCGCGTAGCAACTTGCGATAGTCGCGTGGCACGCGTCTCCACACGCCGCAGAGCTTGCCAGTGGTGTTCTGATAAGCACCACCAATCGGATCGATCACCTGCTCCTCCAGAATATTGCCCGACCCGTCGACGAACTGTATGCTACGCGGTCGGGGCGTCGACGCGGACAAATAGAACGCATAGTAGATATTCTTACGGTGAAACGTGAAGCGACCGGTCGCTAGATAGTTGTACGCGCTGTTGTAAACTGACGTCGGATTCGATTCATCGCGACGCAGAGACTGCGACGTTCTGCCCGTTAACAGAGTGCCGAAATCTGTAATTAACCAAGATCCTTTAATCCTAGTTCATATTCGCATTTATAACAAATGTTTTTCACAATTTTTATCTTATTCCTCGGATTTTGAACTTCAAAATGAAAAAAAAATTGTTCAATTACGTCAACTTTAACAAAGATACATTAATTTAAAGGTTTGTGGACCTACAAATGCTAGTTGAAGAAATTTCGGAACGAATATCAATCAGCTTTAAGAAGAATGCCATATATTTCACAAATATTCATTCGAGCAAAGAAAAACGATTTAAAGATCAAACATATATATATGCACACGCGTATCAAACTTTAGAAAAAATGTAAAAAGTGTAAAAATCTTACGTTTCAGGCTCCGCTCCTCTTCCTCCGAAGTCAATTGCGCTGGCAGATCCTGCGCTATGTCTGCGTCTGCAACAAAAGATTTATTCCGTCGTAAACGCGGGTATTTGACCGCTCGATCGTACAATCTTTCCGGTCGTTCAACGCACAGTAATTTACGTTCGCGAAAAAGACCAATTACGAAACTCCTTAATTGTAGGATTATTAAAAGTTTTCTCGGCCAATTTTCACGATCTGCGCTATTTGTTCCATTTTAAAACTGGATGAATTTTATGTAAATAATTGGTATGGAATAATAATAAAAGGATATCCTTGAGAGGGCATGTAAATTATACTATACGTCGGAATTAATGCGACGTAACTCACGCGCGATATAAAGCCAAATGTATATTCTATAGGGACTCTCTCTCTCTCAGGAGGATAAAACTCCTCACGCCCTGACGGCGCGCCGCGTCGCGCGCAGGAGAATGGCGATTGGCGAG